ATAGGCACAGTTCCCTTACCGGATCCCTTGCTCACTCAAACACACACACACACACACACACACACACACACACACACACACACACACACAACCATTTTTCTCCATTCCAATTCGCATCTTATAAATCAATTGCTCTGTGAAACATCTGTGGAAAAAATTCAGGTGCTCAGGCATGAAAATGTGCCGCTCAAACACTATACTTTTCCGCACACACTGAAAAAAATTAGAGGAACATTGATCAAGACATGGAATTCAGTGATGGAATGTTTAGAAAGATTAATTCTCTGTTGGAAGTTACAGATGATAGACAAAGATTTCTGCATCACCTCAAATTCACAGGTGAACATTCAACAACAAAAAATTGCATAATTTTAATTAAAATTATTTAATTTGATGGTGCAAGATAGGATTTGTCAAATGTGGTAATTCATGTATGGAACGACTCTGACAGCAGGGAAAAGATGCAAAGAGAATTTGGTGAAGTAGAAGTTTCAACTGGACTCATTATGAAGCAATAACCATCTACAAAGGAGAAACAACCCATATGCTGTTAACATAAATTTCTATTGATTTTCTAATGCTTGAAAAACACAAACATTTGACGCTTGTTTGACTTTTGCAGGTATATCTTTACATATTTTTTTAATCCTGCATTTGTTACAGTATTATGGATTTTCATTTGCATCATATTGATTTGCTGGTAAATCTATTTCATTTATAGTTTTCTAGAACTATAGGTTAAAAAAAACTATGGTTATGAATAAACAAGAATTTATTTTCCCCTTTATCTGAATTCATAATGAATTCTATTTATAGATAACCAAGGACACCTTGAATACATTTCGCATGACAAAAAGAATGATTCTACAAAGTCAAGAAATGTGATACAAGAGAGCTTTCCATACCATATGATTCCGTGACATCCATAACTTCAGTATCCTGCTGTGGTTGTGATAATTCTGATGAGTTTGCATTGTAAACTATGAAGCTGACGTCCATTGGTTCACATCCTTTGCTGATACAAAGCTGACAACGGCAAGTTGAGGGATTTTGTGCTGCAGTACAGTAATCCGTTGGGCTAGAAAGCTGGGGTTTTTCCTTCGTTGTTTTCTGAGGTTTTCCTTTCTGTCCTTTAGATTTAACTGTGACCTGTTTTTTAGCCTTGTTGCTTTCCTTATCTAGCGGTTCTCCTGAAAAATGAATGTTTAAATAGCATTAAAAAGTTTTTTTTTTAAAAAAACTAAGCTTATCTGTTAAAATAATCTATTATGCAGCGCTTGTGAATTTTCCTAGAGTGCAATTTTTCCATTGGATTTGTTCTTACAATTTTCCTATCTCAGTTGTACATTTTTCTCATGTTAGTGTCTTTTTATATATGCAGAAAGCTAAGCGAGAGCACAGAGCTTCCATTTAGAAAGGAGAAATAGGCTGCAGGTATAGACATAAGGATGGGCAACCTTTTTAGGCTGTTCAGTTTGTCACTGTAATACCACTTCTTTATACCACTAATTGTTTAACCTCCCCGGTCTCCTTTCTGGAAAACTTCATGTCAGGCATAGGATTGATCTAGCACAGTGTTTCTCAACCTTGGCGACTTTAAGTCCTGTGGACTTCAACTCCCAGAATCCCCCAGCTAGCAGCCAGCATAGCATAGCTGGCTGGGGGATTCTGGCAGTTGAAGTCCAGAGGACTTAAAGTCGCGAAGGTTGAGAAACACTGCTCTAGCATTTCTGCAGTGAATAAGCGGACGCCAATAATTCTTTCAGCATTTTGATCCTGGCAGCATGCTACTTTTGGATGGCTCTTTTTCCTTGCCTCCATCTCTTTTATGGGAGCTTGCATTTTTTTTTCTTCTTCTTTTTTTTGGAAAAGATCCCTTTCTAGATGAAGCCTTTCTTTCCTTCTAGAATCTTCCTTGACAGTGCTTATTAACCATTCTTACTTCTTCGGCTTAGTGGTGTTTTTCCTGATATGTGATACAGTATATTCCAGAGGAACTTTTAATATAATGGTTTGAGTAATCTCAAAGATGTAAGAAGAATTTGCTCTTTTTATTTTCCCTGTCAATTTGGTTTTTCTTTTTATCAGAACCCTTATATTGGAGCTAGATATTTTAGACTTCCATAGCAATTTTTCCTCCTGGATATACATTACATTTGAACATTCATCGTCTTCTATGTCCTAGGCTAGGGGTCAGCAATCTGCTGCTCTGGAGCCGCATGTGGTTCTTTTATCCCTCTGCTGCGGCTCCCTGTTGCTGAAAATATGTGTTATCCCCGCCAATGTATGACGCCTGCTTGAACAT